CATTCTTAATCTTTAAACATCCATAAAAGGCAGATTTCATCTTATAAATTAAATATGTCACAAGTCAGTGCTTTTGGAGCGGTTCAATGTGTGTTCACTTCTTGAATGTTCACAACTCACTTAAATCTCAAATAAAAAAATTTTAAACTTTGGCAGATCTTCATGAAACAATGTGTCATCCAGGATGATGTTACCAACAGCAACAGCAGACACAGGGCTCTTTTTATCTCTATAAATGTGCCAAGATGGGCCAAAGGGTATCTAAAACCCAGGAGTGGAAAACTGACTGATACTGTCAATTAAATTGTCCCTGTGTGGTTCTTATCACAAACATCATCTTGAAGAGGACATAATTCTAGCCTTATAATTATCATTTTTTATATTTCTATTATGATGTAATACAAATAAAGTTAATCATAAAAATATATTTCATAATATAACATTTAATAAATTTCACTTTAAGATAAACTCACTATGTTATTATTGTTATTCTTATTGCCCTGGATAAATAAAGATTTTATTATGGATCAGCACTACTCATCTGTAGACTGATAAGGTTACCCAGAGGTTCATTACCATTGGTGGAGGAAGTTTATACAAAAGGATAGGGCAGTTCCCCCACCCCACCCCCAAGAGGCATGGTGAGTACACAGGGCTGGTCATTTAACACAACAGCATTAGTAACCATAATCAAGAAGCTGGCTCTGGTTTTCTGTAATCCCTGCAGCCTCTCACCTGCCCTGGGGCTGCTGACTCCAGAAGCTGGCAATCAGCTTCCCACCTTAATAAGCAGATGCTAGGAAGAAATCCCTGACACAGGGAAGAGAAGACCTGGGTGATCTCCTATCACAGAGAAATATATGAACAGGGACAAAAGACAATGTGGGACCAAGTAGCAGAGAAAAAAAAAATCACTTTCGAAAAGAAGTCTGAACAAGATAGAAAGAAATTGTGGGCCATATTGGTCAATAGTGAAGCATTCATAAGGTTAAAAACACACGTTTCCTATAGAAAAAGAAGCTAGATGTAAAGGAACAGGTTGATGGGTTAGGATAAAAATGAAAATAATGAAAGAGGTAAAAAAATGAATTTTAAAAAATTTCAGGTCATAATGTTGTAAAAGTCAACATGCAATAAAAATTTAAATGCAAACCAAAATTTTGAAGATGATTCAAAAGGGGAGGAGGGACGATAACTCTTTCAAAACAGGCTCTCTTCCAGTTCTAACTGCAAGGACCAAGGAAATATTAACTTATATATAATGGGAGCTGGGGAGGCACAGAAGATGAATACAAGAAGCTGGGAGCTGGAGCCGGCTGCCTTCCTACTACAACAGTCTCCTGGACTTAGTGCTTAATGGAGCCTATTCTAAAAGGAAGCAGGATTCACCAGCAATTCACCTCCTAAAAAGATGCCTTGGACCCAAGATGAGAAAGCAGAGCTGCTCTTCTACCTGGGGAAGATGCTGGTGTTTGAGAAGCAATGGTTCTGGATCTCAGAATTTGAGAGGAAAATCCTCTGAAGTTCCCTTATTTACACAGATATGAATACACAATGATTTGTCTTCTTATGAAATTCACAGGCACAGTATTTTCCATCAAAATTTAATAGGTATTGACCTTCCCTGACCCACCTTCATGCTTCATCTTCTGCCATTTCCACGGTGAAAGAAATTTCTTAATGCCTTCCTAATTGGTTTTTAATTATTTTCCTCTTAGTGGTAAACATTTCCCTGGCCTGACTTTTGTGAAATTGTTTTTTTTTTTTTTTTTGTCCTTAAATTTTTTTTAAAGAGAGAGAGATAGAGAGAGAGAGATAGAAAGAGAATTTTAGTATTTATTTTTTAGTTTTCGGCAGTCACAACATCTTTGTTTGTATGTGGTGCTGAGGATCGAACCTGGGCCGCACGCATGCCAGACGAGCGCGCTACCGCTTGAGCCACATCCCCAGCCCTTGTCCTTAAAATTTAAAACTTTGTCTAGGACATGTAAGGTCTTTCCATTTGCTTGCCCTGTATTTGGTAGGTTACCCTGAGGTTCTGAACAGGACTGAGTAAGAGGACTACCTGAAGTTTTCTATGTCTTCGAATATCTTTTTTCTTTCTATACTTTTTCTCCATCAGTTCATGGCCTATTTATGTTCCTGTTACAGATACAACGTTATTTTTTTTCTAATAAAAAAAGTTTGACTATCATTAACACACATAAAATTTTCCATCTTAACCATTTTTAGGTGTATAGTTGGGTAGTGTGTCTCATTGCCAAGCAGAATGCAATTAAAGTCATGAAATTTTGAAAGACAGGGGACAGATCAGAGAGAGTGACAGCCAGCTGGACTGTGGTGAGAAGTATTTTATGTGTAGAATGGCACCTCATGCAGGAGCTAGCCTAGAGTCTTTCTATGCCCTTCTGAATTTGAAATCCTGTGAACCTGCAAGAAGGTGGGGAGACTTTAAGAAGACCTGCAGAAGGCTGCTGTAGACTTTGATGATTGTCTATATTTGATAAATAGGTGATACCCTCCTGAGAACAAACAGGAAAACTTTTTCCTTCTAAATTCCTTTTTTTTTTTCATTTCTTACTTAATTTAGGGATGAGCTTGTCCAAAATCACTGTTCAGGCAACCAACAATCACATCTTTGCTCCTACATCCTGCCCTCGGTGAGGTCTGTGACTCAGGCTACCAAAAAAAGTTAGGAGAGACTTGAAACAAAAAGAATGGATTCTAGAATCTTCTTACCTCCCATTGAAAACTTTCTTGTGTTCTGCCTCTATTGCCTTATCTGCCTGCCAAGAGCTGACTTCTTCTTGCTGGAAATTCCTGAAGGAAACTCACTGAAGTTCTCCAGCTCTCAGCCAGGGCTCCTGGGACCTGGGTCTCATTTCTGCAAAAGTTCCTGCTGGTTATCCAGATTCCCCTCATCTCTGATAGCTGAAGGTGCCCTTGCACGCTGAACTCTTAGGGCATTATCCAAGTATATCTGCCATCACTGAGCCCCTTTATCATAGAACTCGTACCACTGACTACTTTAAGAATGCTGGAATAGTCAGCCCCTCTCACAATGAGAATTTTCTGTTTCCACTGGTACCAGTGGGTAGGAGAATCCTTTCCCTGGGCCTTATTTTATTAGAAGTAAGTGAGCAAAGTCTATCTAACCTAAGATACGACAGCATCACAGTTGTTCATCTCATTGATCTTACACCCCACCCCAGAGTTGATGACCAAGGATGGATTAGCTTAATGCCTTCCTTCAGGAAGATCAACCTCTTAACCAGGAATACCATTTCAATGGCAGCTTCATGGAGGAGAATTTGGAAGCCAGAAGGGATTTTCTGGCATCTCTTGAATCACTCTACACAAAGGTCACTTCACAATTTTTACAACTGAAGAGAGTTCCTTTGTCTGTAATTTATATGAAGTTGAAGAGAAAGACATGATGGGGGTAATCACTGACCCTTTCACAAGGAAATTAAAAAATGAACTGCTGGGTAGAGAATCTTGTAATGGGTGCTAGAAGCAATCTTTCTGCCCAGACCTCAAAAACTGTCATTATCCCTGGATTCAGAATCTGATTGATACTGACCTCAAGCCAATCTAAGAATTATAGTTCAGTTCAGAGAAACATCTTTTACTCATCAAAAGAGAAAATACACATACATGTTTTCTTTGCATTTTCCTAAAAAATGGATTTAGTCACTTCAGAAACAAAAGAAATAATTTAGAATCGAATCAAGTTGAGGTAAATATTCTCAAAATATAAGAATGTTTTCCCTGTTCATCATGTTAAAATTGGTAAATCTCCCTTTTAAATTGACCCTGCTTGTAGTGGCTCAGTTGTTTTCAAAATTCTCAGATGTCTTGCTATTTACCACAAATATTAAGTAACACTTGCACCATTCTCAAATGAAATTAATAGATAATTCTGCCATTTAAAAATGAATTTTGTAACCTTCCTATAGTAATAAGGTACACAGTATATATATATATATATATATATATATATATATATATATATACACTATATATACAGTGTTCTAACTACAAATGAGTGATAAGAGGAAAATGATTTATAATAAAATAATATGTATGTCAGTGTATACTCAGGCATAATCACAAAGACAGACAAAGCAAAGCATCCTGATGTTGTCATCTGCATTGGAATACCTACTGAATACAACTGAAATTAATGCTTGCAGGTATGTTGCATTGTATTTATTGTCATACGTAACATTGCTATCAATTGTGTAAATTTCCAAGGAATGAACAACTATTGGTAAAGTTCTGGGGGAACCAGAATAAAATCTTTCCTCAAAACTCATGGATTTGGTACAGGAGTACTCGGGCACACCTGTGGCTCAAAAGGCTGGTGCAGGAGGATTGTGAGTTCAAAGCCAGCCTCAGCAACTTAAGAAGGCCCAAAGCAACTTAGCAAGACCTTGTCCCAAAATAAAGAATAAGAGGACTGGGGATGTAGTTCAGTGGTTAAGCACCCCTGGATTCAATCCATGATAAAAAAAATCCAGATTATCTGAGAGAAGTTAAACCTCAGTTGGAGACAGAATCTAAAGAACCACCTGACGATCTATCTGAGGCTGAAGTTAATGCCACATTGGACATAAGATTTTCAGAAACTTCAAAAATTCTAACTTCAAAAAATTCTTACCATACAAAAAATACTATGCATTTATAAAACTGAATAAAAATCAAATGTTCTGATTATTTTCAGTGCATTTCAATTTATGAAGTTTTGACAGATCATTCAAATAGAGAGAGAGCAAGACCTACACAATTCTTTTCTATGTAGACAACTGTATCCAAGTTAAGATACTTGTCCTTGGCTCCACCTTCAAGTACTAGTAATCCTCTCTTAAAATGATGATATCCAAAAATGGTCCTTGGGATCAATGTCATCCCCATACCTGGGTTAGATCAGCTCTTATACCAATTAAAGACAAAGAACAGGCAACTTGAAATTATTCTATTTATTTCATTAACACTGATGAATAAGATGTTTTATTTTACAGAGTGTGCATTTTCATATTTGGATAATATTTCTTTTATGGGCCCACATAACTAGGTCTTTTATTATGATAGAGAGAAGCATAGTTGCCTGACCTCAACATATCTAAAATCTGGAAAAGGTCAAAACACAAACTGTAAGATAGAAGATATTATGATACTAATAATATAAGAAGAGAAACATAATGAAATTTTCACAAATAATTTTTGAAGGTAAAATATTTTACTCTATTTCTTTATTTTCTTATACATTTATTGGACATTACCAATTTTCTTAAAGTGTTCATGTCTTAGTAATTGTCTCGCAAACGTTATGGAACAAAGAGAGAAATAAAAAATTAGGAAAATCAGAAGAGAAATCACATAATAAATGAAAGCAATATAATTAAAAAGAGGAAAAACATGACAGATAAAAGAAATTTAAAATAGGAAAAAAATTGGAAACTAGAAATGTTCCCAGTATGTTGCTGTTTTTTCTTCCTCAAAATTAATTTCTATGAATCGCAATTTTAATGCTAGAAACTCACAGAGCTAATTCTTATTCCCTTGATGTATTTGTGGATCCATAAGGTGACAGCCAATTATGGAAAACTGCTAAATCGTGAAGATATACCTTGCTGAAAAAAAAAAAAAAAAAGTTCTCAATTCATTCTGGTCTGGTGTATTGAGAGCTAAATTATAACCAAAATAGTAGTTCTATTCTTACCATTAGTTACTGCAGGTTTTCTGCAGCATTAAAAACATGCAACTGGATTTGTTTCTTGGCAAATTTAGATTATAAAATTTTGAAGGCAATAGAAATATCAGCAGGAAGGAACTAAAATCCACGAGCATAGTATCAACCTAGCCATTAATAGACATTCGTGAAATAAAATGTGGCACATATCACAAGTTACAAAACAATGGCAAAATGCTAATCAGAATTTTGCAAAAACTTCAAATTATTTAATATTTTGAAGGTTACATTTTTTATTATTTTTCAGTACATTTGTTCATTCATTCCTCAAATTCAGAAAACTTTCTTGATAAAGTCTTATCTCATACAGTCTAAATTAATGGTTACTCCATACATTTACCAAAAGTTTTTAAGAATGTAGTTTTCATTTTTAAAAAAATATATAACTTTAAGAATGAAATGAACTTCAAAAATTTCAATAGAACTTTCTGTATCAAAAGAACATTTAAATTAACTGTAGCCCAAGACATCTAGAAATTCTTCCAAAATACAGAAAAGGAAAAAATGTTAATCATCTCTCTTGGGAACTCATTTTAATGCCTAGCAGCACATTGATCAGGAATATTCTCTAGGTTACAGTTTCACCATTGTTTAGATATATTCAGTAACCTTATAAATGATTTTTGGAGGAACAGTACAATTGGTGATCCTGAACACAGACCCCTATGACCTTAAACTTGACCTTTCAATAGACAAATCTAGAGGGATGGGAAGGACAGTGGAAGGAGATGAACATTATATCTTATATACATGTATGATGACACTTCTGGTGTGACCCTGCACCATGTCAGCCAGAGGAAGGAGAAATTGTGCTCCATTTATGTACAATGTGTCAAAATGCATTCTATGGTCATGTATAACTAATTAGAACAAATATAAAATAAATAAATAAAGTAATGTTCTAGAAAAAAAAGGACATATCTAGAAATCCTTGTTCTAGCAGTAGTCCACGAGATCTGTTTCTCTTCATGTCTAAATACTGAACTTCTCACCAGTTATGATTACCCAGAGAAATTTCATACTATTTCTCCCTTCATCTCTTTTTGCCAGTATGAGTTGGATGGATCATCTTGCCTGGTGTGTTGAGAGCTAAATTATAACCAAGATTAACCTACCTAAGGTGAAGAGGCATGAAAAGAACTAGACAGCTGAGTCCAGTCCAAACCCCAAGAAAAGACCATGCTTCTAGCTGAGGAAATTAGAATGAGCTAATGAAACTAGTACCTGTTAGACCAAGCAAACATTTCACGCTAGAAAATAATGCAATTTCATATTTGGGTAATATTTCTTCTGTAGGCCCACATTAGTCAGCCTTTTATTATAACACAGTATTATAGAGAGAAAAGCATAATTGCAACTCCATGTGGAGTCATCATCAGTGGTCTTTGTATGGGCATCTTTTGGAGACCACAAGGATCAAGTAAAGATTGAGATGAGTGCTCTGTAATTTTATACTACTTTTGTTTGGCTGGAGCAAATAATGAATGGTATTCTTATTGTAAGCACAAAATGATGGATGCAGACCTCAAAAGATTCAGAGATGCCGTTTATTCATTCACAGACTCAGGCACCATAGGGGTTCATTTTCTGGATGAGAAAGTGGCCTTCAGTTACAGAGGATACAGTGAGGGTGGTTTAATCATTGGAAACTGTGGATGTGCCCTTTGGACAGTCAGGGGCTAGTGGTGCAGGTTAAAACTTTAACTCAGGAAAGCAGTGGTTAAAAAGGTTGAAACTCATTGTTACCTGGAGAGATGGAAGTCCAGATCCTGAGAGATGTATCCTCAAATCTCACCCATTGCTTTTCTTTCTCTGGGATTCACTGTTTCCCAGAGTTTCCATATTTACTGAGTCTCCATTTAGGACTAATTTGCAATGGGGGAAGGTCCAAGTCCATAGCCCAGCATTCAGAAGCCACTCCCTTCCTTCAGGGCCCATTGTTATTGGGAAAGGACTTACCGGTAGGTTAATGCTTGGCTAGTTTTCTCTCCCTCCTCTGGAGCTGCACCATCTCTCCGCTTTTCTTCTGGGGCTATCTGGTTGGAATATTATTTTCCATAGCCCTCCACTTACCTCCCTGGACTATTTTCACTCCCAATACAAAGAAATTACTATGGTGGTTCATGGCTAACGGCACAAAAGGCAATTCCATAGGTCAATTATCTTTTGCTTAAACCAATGGCTTCCCCCTAGAACAAAGAGCAGCAAATCACAGCAGCTAATGGCTGTGACGCTCAGGAAGATTTCATTGTAAAATGCAACACTGTTATTGCAGCCCTTGGTTTGTGCCACAACATGCAAGTAATAGATCCTGAAGAACTGGTAGGGAAGAAAACAAATAAGGATGATGCCTATGAAGAATAGATTCTTCAGCTGAGCCCAGAACTCCTGGTGGGACAGTAAGGAGTGGCTTAGCTTCCGCACCATGGATATAGTGATGAAGATCTGGAAGACCAAGAGAATCACTGCAGTGGTTATGACAATAATGACTATTATGTAATTGATGGCTTGCACATACTCACGACCAAGTTCCTTATGGAAATTAAAACAGTGGTTTTCATTGTACTCCTCATTATTTCCATACTGAGAAATGACCAGGGGTACCACAATGACAATCACCAAAAGCCACATGCCTGAACTGGCAGCAACTGCATGTAGTTTTCTGTAGAATTCCACTTTGTCCTGGCGCTTGAAGAAGATGAGGTACCTGATAACCAGGATCACCAGGTAGAAGAGGAACGTGAGGTACATGTGGATGTGCAGCATGGCACTCACAAATTTGCAGAAGGGCAATCCAAATGTCCAAGTCTCCTTGATGAGGTAGGACAAGCGGAAAGGTACTGTCAGCAGAAAAACACTGTGGACCACCACCAGGTTAACGACTGCTGTGGTCGTCACGGACCGTGTATTCATTTTCACCAGCAGGAACAAAATGGAGATGACACCTGTCAGTCCGCCAATGAGCACTACAAAGTAGAGCCAGGTTAAATGAGGAGTCAGTATAGGATCACAAGAGGAATTCCTGGAGATATTGTAACCAGCCATTCTTCAGACATCGCCTGAAAAAGAAAAAACACTGATAAACTTCCAGAGTTTCATTCAGAGTACTTTTAAGGCACTGACAACAACGTGGCTTGCAATTTATCTATTTACATGATGTAAACTTTATGTGCCTTAAGAATGAAGATTATGTCATATGCATGTTTGTGTATCTTAAACCTAAAACACAGCAAGTCATTGTTTCAGTCCATTTCTGTTGCTATTAATACAATACCACACATTAGGTGACTTTATAAAGAAACTAGGTTTATTTTGGCTCATGGTTCTGAAAGTCCAAGGTCAAGGTGTTACCCTTAGTGATGGCCTTCTTGCTGCAGACTTTCTAGGTGTCACGGAGACAAGGAGCATGCATATATGTCTATGCCTCTCCTGGTCTCTCTCCCTCTTTTATAAAGCACCAGTAGGATTCATTTATAGGGATGCCACCCTAAAGAATTTATCTAACTCTAATCCTCCCCAAAGATGCCACCTCTGAACCACATGATTGGATTAAGTTTCCATCCTCTTAATACCTCACAAAGGGGATGAAATTTGAACACGTGAAACCTTGGAGAATGTGCACTAACCATATCTAAACCATAACAGTCATTGATTCTTAATTTTTACTAGGAATAAAAATCTAATCTTAATCTTTATGATAGATGCTACCAGAAAAACACGCACACACACACACACACACACACACGGACAAGGCAATCTGCATAAATCTTAAGAGAATTACAGACCATGGGGAAATACTAGTACTATAATAACCAATAGAAAATATTTTTATACAAGATATTTTTTAAGCATGATTCTAGTTCTCTAAATCCTTCCACCAGGAAGACTCAAAGAGATTCAAATTGAATTGTTCACTCAGTACCTGACCTTTGTAATACATTTGCAATTATTCTTATTCATTCTTTGAATATCTCTTCATACAATGGAGATGGATTGAAAGATGAATGGATGGATGAAATGATGTAAGATATTTTAAGATCATGATTTTAGTTGTTTAAATCCTTCTAACTTGCTCTTAAATGACCAGAGAATATTCACACTTAATTCATTTATGATACTGATTTGAGAAAAATTTAGATAAGTCAAGGCAGCAACAAGAAATAGGAAGATTTATCTGAACTTTTCATTGTACTTATATTTTCATGTAACTGGGAGATCTGACTGTTAAATTTAACAGAGCCCCTATCAAAATGGGCATGCCCTTCCCATTCTCCTAGTCCCTGCATTCAAATGTATAAAAGGGCAATTGTCATTCCTCCTCCAGACTCCTGAAAGATCCTCTCCCCAAATTATTCAAACCCTCATACTCCATCTTCAACTTAGTTATTATTAAAGATTTAGAAGTCTTTCAATTTCACTAACAAGTTATATCACATTTCCTACTTAAAGGCCTTCAATGGCTTCCCATTTAAGATAAATATCGATATCTTTCCGTGTCTAGAATGTTCTGGGTTACAACGGCAAAGACTGGTCCTTTGAGACCAGACTCAAGAAATAATCAAACTTTGATGGAATGCACATGAGGACATGAGTGGTACAGAAGAGCCTTAATCACGCCCAGCTTTCTGACTTGAACAATTGCCTTGGTAGAGGTCTATGTACTGACACCAGGGAAACTCAAATAAATTCAAATTGAATTTTTCACTCAGTACCGAACCTTTGGAACATATTTGCAATTATTTTTCTTCATTTACATAATGGAATATGTCCCAGCAATACAAATGAACCTACTTTTGATATACATAACACTGATGAATCACAAAAACATATTAAATCATATATATTCTCAAGAAGGTGACAGTGCCCTAAAGGTGCAAAAAATATTGTCCTTGATGTATTTCATGGTTTAGATATAAGGTGTCCCTCAAAAGTTCATGAGTGTGGGGTGCAGTGGCGAAAGCCTGTAATCCCAGTGGCTCAGGAGGTTGAGGCAGCAGGATGAGGAGTTCAAACCCAGCCTTAGCAACTCAGCAAGCCCTAAGCAACTCAGTGAGACCCTGTCTCTAAGTAAAATACAAAAAGGAACTGGGGGTGTGTCTCAGTGGTTGAGTGCCCCTGAGTTCAATCCTGGTACCAAAAACAAAACAAACAAACAAAGAAGTTCATGAGGTGAGAATACTAGAACATTCAGAGGTAAAATGATTGGTCATGAAAGCCTTAACATAATCAGTTCATTAATTCCCTGGTAGAGGTTAACTGGGTTGTAACTGTAGGCAGGTAAGTTGTAGCTAGAGGAGATGGGTTGCTAGGATTGTGCCATTGGGGTATATATATTATTTCTGGTGAGCAGAGATTAGGTCTCTCTCTGCTCCCTTATTGTCATGTCCTGAGCTGCTTTCCTGCCTCATGCCCTTCTGCCTTGATGTTCTGCCTTGCCTCCAGCACAGAGCAACAGAGTCAGCCACTGATGAACTGAGACCTCTGAAACAATGAGCCCTAAGTAAACTTTTCCTCCTCTAAATCGTTCTTGTCAGATCTTTTGGTCACAGCAGTGAAACAGCTAACTAAAACAATGTGTGAGAAAATATCATTCTATGTATATAAAGTATGGAAATGTATATATGTACATATATGTATAGACAGACAGACAGACAGACAGACACACACACACACACACCTGGCACATAACCACACAGGTATATCTGTGGTATTAAAATTTCAGAAGGAGGTAAGAGACAATTAGGGGAAAAAAACCTAAAAGTGCTGTCTAATGGCACAGTAATTTATAATCAGTTGAGAAACACTGTGCTCAATGAAAGATACCAGCCACAAAAAGTGCATACTGTTTGATTTCTTTTTCTAGAAAAGGCATAACTAATGTGAGAGAAAACAAATCCATGTAGGCCCTGGCCCAGGTCATGGGGAAAGAGATCCGCTTCCAAGCAGGTGGAGAGGCTTATGAGGTTATAGAAATATTTTATGTCATATTTGGTTACCACCACAGTTACTTGACAACATTTTTTAGATTACACACTTAAAATTGAGAGATTTGTTTGCATATACTTATACCTCAATACATTTTTTTTAAGTAATAATAACCTAACTCCAGGAAACTTCTATTTTTGTAAGCATGGAATACAACTTCAAAGAATCATGACTGGGTATTTCCTTAGGGGTTGCCTCGTGATAGACTTGATCTATGTGATGTGTCATCTCTACTTTGCCTCTCATTTTTCTCTGTGGAAAAATAGTTCATCAAGTAGGGATTACCCTGCATTAAACTCTGAGTCAGAACGGCTGTGCCGCCATGACTTCTGCTCACCATTTCCTTCAGACATTGGCCTAGTCAGACTGACTTCTGAAAGAAGGGAGTAAAATCAATAGCACATCACTTAAATCCTCTTTCTTTATTGTAAACTGCTGCAATCTCTCTCTTACATATATCAGAAACACATGTTAAATAATTGTCTCTGCTAAGACTACACTATATTGCCATATTTAATTTAACCCTCATGATAATCTTGTGAGTAGTGAAATGTATTATCATATGGAAATCTAGGTGATAAAACTGAGTCCTGGGAAGGATGCCATTTGACTAAGGTTTTCAGAGCCTGTCTGTCTGTCTGCCTCTCTCTCTCTCTCTCTCTCTCACACACACACACACACACACACACACACACACACACGATACACACATTCCAAAACATTATTGTGTGTCATGAAGAAGCATTGTGAATATGCCAATTCCAAGTTTCTAAATGTTAACATAAGCAGGAGGGAAGGCCATCAAGAAACTGCTCTGCTTGCATGGCTGTCTGCCAACATATCAACAGAGCAGCTCTTTCTGCTTCTTGGATTCCTAACTCTCCTACCCCTTTTTCTTGGTTTTTAGCAGATCCCACAGGTTAGCTCAATCAAAATCATTCTCTTTATTGCCTGCTTTTGTTATAGTTTTTTTTTTTTTGCAGCATTAGTGCTTGCATATGACTTCATTTACTGGTCAGCTATTGGATTGCAAAACATGGAGGCTGATGTCAGCCAAATGAGAATGTCAACGTGCAGAGAGATTAGACTGTTTGGCAAGATAGTAGTGAAATTGGTTACTCTGGGACAGCTATGGCATAATTCTTGTATTCGTTAATATATAGCCTAGATTTCAAATATTAAGATAACATATTAAATATAACTTCAATCAGACATTATATCAAATGTAAATAGAGTAAACAGTCCAATTAAAATACAAAGATTGTAGACTGAATTCAAGAATCAGGATCCAGCTATATGGCGTTTACAAAAGATATTTAAAATGTAAGAATCACAATAAAAGCAATAGATTCATTATAAAATGTCACATTTATTTCTAATAGTGATTCTTCTTTAAGACCTACTTTTATTAACATACTTGAGCCTTTTTTGTTTAGTGTTCATACTTTACATATTCTTCCATCCTTCTAATAGCAGTATTTATGATTCTTACACTTAAAATGTGCCATTTGTAAACAAAAATTACTTATGCCTCTCCCCTACAAATCCTACAAATTCAGATCACTTAACGTCATTTATCCCACCACTCCATTTTATGGTTTTCACGCATATTAATTCTACATGTCTTTTAAACCCCATATTGACATTTAATCCACAGTCATATGTTTTTCCCACTTAGTCCTTATTCATTGCTCTGTTTCTTCCTGCATTTCTGTGTTTCCATCCAGGACAATTTTGAAGAACTCCATTCACTATTTCGTCTAATGCAAGTTAATTCTTTCAGGTTGTGTGTGTGTTTGTGAAAATTTTTTCATTTTATATATATTATTAGGATTGATTGCAAGGCATAAAAACTTAGGTTCACACTTTCTTTCAATACTTTGAAAATGTTATTACATTATCCTCTAGCTTTCACCACTGAGACTTCAGTCATTAACATTGCTACTGCTTCTTCTATTATGATTGTCTTTTTTTTTACTTTAGCTCATATATATATATATATAGTGTTTTATGTTATTTTGTGCTTGTAGTGTTTTTCTCTGTTTATGCTGCTTGGAGGTCCTCATGGTTTCTT